GGGTACACACCCACAGAACTTGGTCACTTATTCGGGGCGCGCGTGTGCCCAGCATCCTGCAATTGTGACATACAATACATGACACAGACAGACAGAGAGAGAGACAGAGAGCAGACAGAGAGAGAGACAGAGAGAGCGGAGTTGGTCACATTTTTGGGGCAAGTTCCTAAGATCGTCGTGTTTTTTGTTGGTCTTGCGCGCGCGAATGTCCACTTTACTTTTTTTTGCAAGGGAGTATTGAAATTTGATTATGTTAGAACAAGAAAAAGTAGCTCGCGCGAGCTCATGTAACAGAAATGTTGAAAAACCATTGGTTTTGTGGGAGTCGGACAGCGCGCGCGGGATGAAATTTGGACACTTTTTTTTGAAAAACCATTGGGTTTTTGATGTTTTTATGTTGAAATCGTTACGAAACCTAAGGTTCTGGAAGGATTTCGTCTTGCGCGCGCGAATGTCCACTTTACCTTATTTTTTGCAAGGGATTATTGAAATTTGATTATGTTAGAACAAGAAAAAGTAGCTCGCGCGAGCTCATGTAACATAAATGTTGAAAAACCATTGGTTTTGTGGGATTCGGACAGCGCGCGCGGAAGGACATTTTGACAATTTTTTCTTAAAAAACCATTGGGTTTTTGACGTTTTTATGTTAAAATCGTTACGAAACCTAAGGTTTTGGAAGGATTTCGTCTTGCGCGCACGAATGTCCACTTTACCTTATTTTTTGCAAGGGATTCTTGCAATTTGATCAAGTAAGAACAAGAATTTTCATTTTATAGTGTTTTTTGCAAGGGAAAACGGATTACAACAAAACAACCGGATCCGGACACAATCCACTTTTCTGAAGCTTTCGCTAGAAAATGAAGGAAATGAGGCTGCGGCCTAGGTTTTGGAGGGGGGTCGCGCACCAGGGGTCTCAACAATAATATTTCTTTAGAAGTAATAATGTTCAACAACTGCAACAACAACAACAACAACAATCATTTTAAGACTGTTCGCCCTTATCTGCTCGAGTGTCCAATAACGCGTATTTCCCAAACCCTCGATACCAGCCCTCTCCGTCTTCGATCGAACCCCTTTTGGGGGGTATACCTTTCTTCCCTGCAGGCCGGGCCCCGGCAAGCGGCGAGGCGGCCGCGGACCGTCGGCCTGGCCAGCGGCAGCGCTGATCGGCGGGGCGGCCGCGGACCGTCGACCCGACCCCCAGAGGGACGAACAGGGGACCGACCACGACGAGGACGACGACGACGACGACGTCGACGACGACGGCGACGACGACGACGACGACGGACAACGACGACGACGAGCGAAAGCGAGAGCGAGAGAGAACGACAGCAGGGCCACGAAGGACACGAAGTAGGCCACGAAGGGCAACAGCGGGGACACGAAGAGAATGCGTATGGGGCCACGAAGAGCGCGAACGAGCGGGGGCCACGAAAGGCAGATAATGCGGGGCCACAGAAGGCAACGATGGGGCCACTGAAGGTAGCAACTGGGCCACGTAGGACAGTGAGGGGGCCACACACGGCGACAGCGGGGCCACGAAGGGCATGCACATGGGGCCAAAATCGGCGCGAACGAGCGGGGGCCACGAAGTGCATACGTATATTGGGCCGCGGAGGGCAAGAACGGGGCCACTGAGGGCAGCAACGGGGCCACGAAGAGCTGCAATGGGGCCACGAAGGGCGACAGCGGGGCCACGAAGGGCGTGCATATGGGGCAACCACGGGCGCGAACGAGCGGGGGCCACGAAGGGCATACATATATGGGGCCACGAAACAAAGCGAGGGGGCCACGAAGGGCTGCAACGGGGCCACGAAGGGCAGCCAGGGGGCCACGAAGGACTGCAACGGGGCCACGAAGGGCAGCAAGGGGGCCACGAAGGACTGCAACGGGGCCACGAAGGGCAGCGAGGGGGCCACGAAGGGCTGCAACGGGGCCACGAAGGAGAGCGAGGAGGCCACGAGGGGCTGCAACGGGACCACGAAGGGCAGCGAGGGGGCCACGAAGGGCTGCAACGGGGCCACGAAACAAAGCGAGGGGGCTACGAAGGGCTGCAACGGGGCCACAAAGGGCAGCGAGATCCCGATTCCTAGGTAATCTGTGAGGGAATCCTAAGCGCGAGCGCGACTCCTGGGTGCCTGGGTGTCGGGAGCGCGGCGCTTCAGTAAATTGCCAGAAAGTCCAACGCAAGGGCGCTATTCTATTGTAAATTTCAAGCAAGTCTCCAGCGAGAGCGCGACTCCAGAGCGCCGGGAGAGCGATTCCTGAATAAATTGTAAGGTTGTAAGGAAGTCCCAAGCGAGAGCGCGATTCCTGAATAAAATGCGAGGAAGTCTCGGGCGGGAGCGGGGGTCCTGGCTCAATTGTAAGGAAGTCTCAGGCGGGAGCCGTTGTTGTTGTAACCGGGGAGCCAGGGGGCCAGCTTGAGCAGGAAGACTTTCCCTGACAAAAAACAGGGTGCGAGCGTCGAAGGGCACACTTTGATTGAGAAAAATCAGTATGCACCGGTGGGGGGGGATCAACAATAATGATTCTTCAGAAATGAAAATTGAAGAAAAAAACTGCATAGACATAAACGTTCGACGGTCTGCGCGGATCTCTTGGATCTGCGCTGGACTCTCCTCCCTGGCGCGCGGAGCGCGCCAGCGTAGCGCGCCAGGGGCGGCGCCGCAGGCGCCGCCGGGGGGGCCCAGCGCGGATCCAAGAAGTCCGCGCGGAGCGCCAAGAGTTAATTACGTCTGTGGCGCTTTTCTTCTTCAACGTGAGGCCTTCCGATAGAAAGGTGCCAAGACGCCGCGGCGCCCCGGGCCTCTCCCAGGGGCGCGCCCTGGCCAGAGCCCCGAGGAGAGGGCCCAGCCGCGGCGACGAGGAGCCCGAGGCCTTCCAGCAGAACGGTGCCAGGACACCGCGGCGCCCCGGGCCTCTCCCAGGGGCGCGCGCCCTGGCCAGAGCCCCGAGGAGGGCCCAGCCGCGGCGCCGAGGAGCCTCCCCCCGACGGAGCCGCGGGCAGCGCCGGCAGGGGCTCTCCTCCCCCGGCGGGCCGGACGCTGGGGGCGCCGCGGGCACAGGGGGCGGGGGCGAGGGGCGGCCGCGGCGAGGAGGCGGGCGCCCCGCGGTCGAGGCGATCGGGGACGCGCCAGCCGCGAGGAGTCTTTAGAGCCCCCGCGATGGGGGGAGGAGGAGGAGGAGGAGGAGGAGGAGGAGGAGGAGGAGGAGGAGGAGGAGGAGGAGGAGGAGGAGGAGGAGGAGGAGGAGGAGGAGGAGTGCGGGGGGAGGAGGGGAGGAGGTGTGGGCGGCCCTGTTTGGGAGGACTGGGGTCATACCACCAGGGGGGGAATGTGGTGTTTGTTCCGCAGCGCCCGCCGCAGAGGTGTTGGGACCAGTGCTATCACTCCCCGCCACGGCCTTGCGCCGAAGAAGAGATGGCAAATCCCTCGGTGCCCGAAGGCGAGGTGCTTTCTGGAAGGCCTCACGTGGCCCCCAAACCCCGGGCGGCCAGAAGAGACTGGCTGGCCAGCGTTAGCGCTGACCCCCGCTTCATGCGCCCCGACGTGAACTGATTACTGCCACTAGTACTAGTTTTAGCAATATTACTATGACTGTCAATATTATTTATGTTATTAATACTTTTCTGTAAATCACTACTACTACTACTACTACTACTACTACTACTACTACTACTACTACTACTACTACTATAACTACTACTACTACGACGACGACTACTACTACTACTACTACTACTACTACTACTACTACTACTACTACTACTTCTACGACGACGACGACGACGACGACGACGACGACGACGACGACGACGACGACGACGACGACGACTACTACTACTACTACTACTACTACCTGGACTACGGCTACGACTACTACTACTACTACTACTACCACCACCACCACCCCACCACCACCATTCCACTACTACTAACGAACTACTACTACTACTACTACTACTACTACTACTACTACTACTACTACTACTACTACTACTACTACTACTACTACTACTACTACTACTACTACTTCGTCTACGACGACTACTACTACTACTACTACACCACTACTACTACTACTACTACTACTACTACTACTACTACTACGACCTACTACTACTACTACTACTACTACTACTACTACTACTACTACTACTACTACTACGACGACTACGACTACTACGACTACAACTACGACTGCTACTACTACTACTTACTACTACTACTACTACTACTACTACTACTACTACTACTACGTACTACTACTACTACTACTACTACTACTTACTACTTAACTACTTCTACTTCTACACGACGACGACGACCGACGACGACGACGACGACGACGACGTACGACTACAATACTACTACTATACTACTACTACGACTGGACTAACGGCTACAACTACTACTACTACTACCACCACCACCACACCACCACTACTACTACTACTACTACTACTACTACTACTACTACTACTACTACTACTACTACTACTACTACTACTACTACTACTACTTCTACTACTACTACTACTACTACTACTACTACTACTACTACTACTACTAATGATAAAAATAACAACACTAAAACCATTACGACTACGACTACGACTACGACTACGACTACGACTACGACTACGACTACGACTACGATTGCCACTACTACTACTACTACTACTACTACTACTACCACCACCACCGCCACCGCCACTACTACTACTACTACTAATAATAATAATAATACTACTTCTACTACTACTACTACTTCTACTATTTCTGCTATTTCTGCTACCACTACGACTACTAGTAGTATGAAAAGACATACTATTAATAGTATGAGGATTCCTAGATAATAAGAATAATCTTAGTATCAATAGCATCCTGATTCGCATTTTCACCCGTACTGGTAGTATTACTATAAGCATTACTGCTCTTACTACGAGTAGTATGACTATTACCATTTTCCACATTACTACTCCTCTTTTTGTACTGATTATATCATTGTTGCTATTACTCTTTTTGCCGACGCAGCCAGGGCCGCCAGGGCCGCAAGACAACCGGCGCGCGGCCCGCCCTTCGGGCGGGCCGGGGATGCGCGGTGCTCCGGGCCTCTCTCTTTGAGCACGGCACCTCGAGGCCAGCTGCGGCGCGGCGCCTCGGAGGCACGGGCCCAGGCTGACCCGTGGCCCGATGCCGCTCAGGACTCGAGGGGGGCCCATCGGAAACGGGGTCGCCGAGCATCGTTTCACCGATCCGCCATCCCCAGCGGCGTGGCCTGGGCCCCATACCCCCCCAGACGGGGACATGGGCCGTTCCCTTCGGGTTTCGAGGGGTGCATCCCCAACTCGGGGGGTCATTTGGTGGGGGTCTAGAAGGGGATGGGGATGGGGATGGGGGTCGGTTAAACGGTACTGAGTAGCGTCGTGAAAAGAACAGAGCGGGAGGCATTCGGCAGCCCTGGGCCTCCCGGGACCCTCACTGGACCCCGTGACCGTGAAAAGAAACGACTCAGGATGAAACGCCGGCCCTGGGGAAAGGATCGGGACTTCCGGGGACCGTGTTCTGAAAAAGTCAGGACGTCGCATGTCTGGGACGGGGCCTGGCCCTGACATCCGACGGTGTGTTCTTTCCACCTCGGCGTCTCTCGTCGATGTCGGCCTCTGGGGACCGTTTCCGGAGCCTGGGCCATCAAAAACTAGAGGACAACGATAGAGGGGGGGGACTGGCCCGGTGGGGGAAACATCGACCTGGAACCGGCGATACGTCGCCGAGGTGTCGGCGACGGGCCCCCCCGATGGCGAACCCGCACCTTCCTGGGCGGGGTGGGGCCGTGAGGCCCCTGCCGATAATCCATGGGCGATTGCGGGTCGATGCATTCCCCCCTTCTAGGAAGGCACCAACTATACACCAACACCGATCCTGGCCAGGATCACCCTGGGCCCAGGATCGGTGTATACGCCCTCCTGCCTTGCGCAAGAAGGCATATACACCGATCCTGGGCCCAGGGTGATCCTGGGCCAGGATCGGTGTTGGTGTATAGTTGGTGCCCTCCGACCTTCGCCTATTTCCCCCCTATCGCTGCCCCTGAAAAACGGATCCCGGACAGAAGACTGCCCAAGGGGAGTGAGCTCGGGACCCCTGGGGGCACGGAGCACCCCGCGAGTCGAGGGCCCAACTGGACCGGCCCGATCCCGGTCGGCCTGCAGGACGGCTCGGCGGCCAGTTGGAGCCCCGAACGGATCGGGGCCTCGCAGAAGCTCAAGGGCACGCCGGCGGCGAGCAGCTGCCCGGCGGCGTGGCCGGGTGCGCCCCGCCGCGAGCTCCCCGACCAGCATCTCCATCAGCGGGGGCCAGGGGGCGCGGTGAACCAAGGTGGTGAACGCCCTCGCTCTCCTTCGACCGGCATTGCGGCCCTGTCACCGCACGCTGGCGAGCACAGATGGCGAGCTTGGACCCCTGAAGACCTCGCTGGGGAGGTGTTCCTCCTCTGGTGGGAGGTGGAGCGAACATCTCATCGGGGAAACTACCAGAGCCCAGAACTGCTTGCCTTCTCTTGTCCACCATGCTGCCCCTGGCAACGTGGAGGAGGACGACGAGGAGAGCAAGGAGCAAGAATAGCTAAAATAAGACGAGGACACGATTCGTTCACCATCTGCTGCTCACCGTACACCCCCTACTTGTCCACGCGCGAATCAGACACGCTTGCTCTCAAGGCGCTCCCGGCTGGCTCACCGAGCCGCGCCCAGTCGCACCGACAGGAGCACCCCCTGGTCGAAAAACTCCTACCTCCTAATCCGCCTACTCCTCCTCCTCCTCCTCTTTCTCCTCCTCCTCCTCCTCCTCATCACCACCACCACCATCGTCATCATCATCATCATCATCATCAGCATCATCATCATCATCATCATCATCATCATCATCAGCATCATCATCATCTGCATCAGCCAGCATCATCAGCATCATCAGCATCAGCATCAGCATCAGCATCAGCATCATCATCATCATCATCATCATCAGCAGCAGCAGCATCATCATCATCTGCATCAGCCAGCATCATCAGCATCATCAGCATCAGCATCAGCATCAGCATCATCATCATCATCATCATCATCAGCAGCAGCATCATGATCATTATCCGCATCCTAGGTTCTCGACGTTCGAGAATCAAGGATCAAAAACTTTCATGCGTTGACGGGAAGGCCGGTGGGACCTCTGGAGGCTTCAGGAGGCCGCTGGTCCTCCGAGAGCCTCCTCAGAGTACGCAGACGCTGCGCATGCGGACGCTAACACATGGACCCCAGACACAGTTGGGGCTGGCGGGATCGTGCAGGGTGTGGGGCTGGTGGTGGCGGGCGGCGGTAGCGCCACCGGAGGCAGGCGAAACTTGGCAGGGGCTGCTGCGGGCAGCAGTGGCAGTCAGCGCTGGCGCCGCACGGGGCCGCTTGTGCTGAGTGGTGGCAGCCAGCGCTGGCGGTGGTAAGTGGTGGATATGCTAAGTGGTGCAGGCCAGCGCTGATTGGCCTAAGTTGGGCTGAGCCGTGGTGCAGCCAGCAGCCACGGCTGAGGAGGCGCGACCAGGGGGAGCTGGACCGCAGACCAGAGCCAGCGAGACCCGAACGGGCCCCCTCAGTGTGCAGGCAGAAGCCCACTCAGGTCCAAGTGCTCTTCGGGGAGAATCGGGGTCGCGGCTGCAAGTCAGCGCGGTATTGTGGGACTACCTGTACCCCGAGGCGACCACGAGTACGCACGCATGCAAGACACGTACAGCGCACTGACCAACCTGCACTGTGCGAGTCCATGCACGGAACCATGGCTTGCGAGAGCGGACGACACCGATGGTCCTAAAGAGGGCCGTGGATCAACCGTACTGGAAGCCCTAGGGGCGGCCGCTCGGGGCAACGCGCGCGCGTCACCGATAAGCCCTCGGAGAAGCGCTCTTGATGAACAGCCCCTCGGGGCACATCCAATGAAGTGTCCTCCTCCTCCTCCTCCTCCTCCTCGTCCTCCTCCTCGTTCTCTTCCTCCTCCGCCTCCTCCTCCTCCTCCACGTCACCGTCATCCTCATCGTCATCGTCATCACCATCATTCCCATCATCAGCATCACCAGCATCATCATCATCATTATCATCATGATCATCATCATCATCGTCATCATCATCACCCGAATAATCATCATCACAATCGGAGTCAGCATCGTCCCCATTAGCATCAGCATCAGCAGCATCGTCATCATTAGTACTATGAGCATCATATGCATTATACTCAGCATCGTCATTAACAGCATCCTCATCATCAACATCATCATCACCATCACCACCATCAGCAGCACCATCATCAGCATCATTAACATTAACATCACCACCACCATCATCATCACCATCATCACCCCGCCTGGACATGGGGGAACAAACACAGGTTAGCCTGCGCGGACCCCAAACAGTGTGTGTTTGGCGATAGATGTGGTGCTGTTTTCTTGTAGGAATGTATGTGGTACACTCTATGCGGAGCAGTTCATGTGGTGCACTGTATGTTGTGCCATAGTATTTGCGCAGTAAGTGAGGCGCACGATATGCCACCAACGGTGTGCAACCTCTGTGATGCAATAAATACGACAGACATATTCATACTACAATTATGTGTCCATATGCAAGTCTTTAAGTATGTTGTGCAAGCAGCCCACGTGGTGCAATCTATGTGGAGCGCTCAATGTGGTGCAACATGTGTGGTGCAATATGTGTGGAGCATACAGGTGCAATCGATGTTGTGCAACCGATGTGGTGCAATGTATGGCTTGCGGCATGCGTAATGTAATCTCTCTATATATATGTGTGTGTTGGTGCAATATCTGTGCTGTAACTACTGTGGTGAATCGATGTGGTGCAATAGATGTGGTGCAATCGATGTGATGCAATAGACTTGGGGCATTCTTCATGGTGCAAGATATGTCATGCAATGTTTGGGGTGCAATGCACCAATCTATGTGGTGCAATATATGTGGTGCACTCTATATGGTGCGATTGACCCTGCCGAACTTGAAGTTGTCGACTGCACTGTTCGCGCAATCATCCCACCCACCCACCCGCAATTTCGTTTGCAAAACCAATGCGGAAGCGATTGCAATGAATGCTTGGTGTTGGCTGCTGAATCTCTACGGCCGCGCGAGCCCGCGCATGCTCGCGCGCGCAGAAGTCAGCTACTTTGGCGCGACCAACGCGAACGCGGTGGCGCTGACCACTCGGCACATCCCAGCGGGCACTTCAGTGCGAGTCGGCGAGTTGGGCGGACGCGGTATCATGGCAACGTCGACAACGGAAGACACGGTGTTGATAGTAGCGATGCTGGCGACGATGCTGACAGCGACGAAGGGGCAGCCAGTGACGGCGCCGATGCTGATCACGCCGACAACGACGACGGCGTCTTCGCGTCGGTGATGAATGTTTTGGAAGGGGTTCGACACGCGCGCGCGGCAGACGCGCGAGAGTAGCCCGCGAGGTGACATTTAGTACGGATCGTGCCCCCCCGCACGCCCGCAAGGGCATTCGAAAAATTTCGACATGTCGGCCCGGCTGGGATGCCACGAACTAATTTTTAGGATGGACGATGGGGCAGAAGCATATGTAAATTACAACACGAAAAAGGGGAATGGAGAATGCGGGGGGGTAGAATGTATTCTCATTTTAGAAAGGAAAAATATGGTACACCATATACGTGGTGCAATCGATGCTGTGCAATATATGTAGAGCAATCTATGATGTCAATCTATGTGGAGCAACATATGTGGCGGCGACAGGGCGGCGACGGGGCGGCGACGGCAGCAACATAGCCGCCAGAGCGGCAGACAGGGCCAGACGACGGGCGGCGATGAGGTGGCGGCGGGGTGGCGACGGCGGCAACGTAGCCGCCAGAGCGGCAGACATGCCCAGACAACGGGCGGCGGCGAGGCTGCGACGGGGCGGCGACGGCGGCAACATAGCCGCCACAGCGGCAGACAGGCCCAGTTCCTTAGAGCAGAAGAAAGAAGCCCTAAGTGCAAGCACTGCTTGTGGAAAGATACCGATACTGCTACTCCCCAGACCTCTCCTGGGGTGCATTCTGACCACTGCTTCGAAGCGAATCCAACCGTGTCGGCGAGTGCCCCCCTGGAGGCCCATGAAAGCGAAAAACTAAGCAGAAGGGCAGCGATATCGGTATCTACCTGAGAAAAATACTCGCGAGGACAGGTAGGCCCCCGCGTCTGAAACGCTGCCCGGCCCCGCTGGGAGAGGATTCGGTGAAAACTCATGGGAGCCTTCCATGCCATCTTGGGTCCTGCGAATCGACGCTAGCCGACGCTAGTCGACGCTAACTGACGCTAAACCATCACTGCTAATCGACGCTAACCGACGAATGCCGAATATCGGCTCTGTCTCATCGACTACCATACGCTAGCACACGCTAAAGCACCCGAAATTAAGTGCACGTCGGTCGGAAAAATGAAGTGAGAAGGTGGATGAAGTAGATTGGGTCCGGGCCCACCCAGAGAACAATAAGACACCGCAAAAGCACATCGATGTTTGAAGTGGGAGGGCGCTTGAAGTAGATTGGGATCTGGGAATCCAAAGAATACCTTCTGTCAACGACCGACGGACAGTTACGAAGACACACGAGGCCCCCATGGCTTGCTACCGCAGAGGCGGCGAGGTCGGGCCGCACGGGCCCGACGGGCCGCGGCTCGCCACAGCGGCGCAGCCCCAGCAAGCGCGCCGCCCAGGCATCCAGCCCAGGCGCCCCAGCAGGCCCCGCAAGCGGCGGCCCCGCGCGCCCTTGGCGGGACCTCCTCCTCCTCGTCATCGTCCTCCTCCTCCTCCTCCTCCTCCTCCTCCTCCTCCTCCTCCTCCTCCTACTCCTCCTCCTCCTCCTCCTCCTCCTCCTCCTCTCCTTCCTCCTCCTCCTCCTCCTCCTCCGCCTCCTCCCCTCTCTCCTCTCTCCGCATACTCCTCCTCTTTCTATCATTTTTTCCCCTCCCGCCGCACCTCCTCTCGTCTTCTTCCTCTCCTCCCCTCCTCATCCCCCTCCTCCCCCTCCTCCTTCCTCCTCCTACTCCTCCTCCTCCTCCACCTGCTTCTCCCTCCCCTCCTGCTCCTCCCCTCCTGCTCCTCTCTCCTCCCCTCCCCCACCTCCTCGTACCCCTCCTCACCTCCTCCTCCTCCTCCTCCTCCTCCTCCACCTCCTCCTCACTCATCCACCTCCGCCTCCTCCTGCTCCTCCTCTCCCACGCTCCCTCCTCCTCCTCCTCCTTCTCCCTCCTCCCTCTTCCTCCCTCCTCATCCCTCCTCCCTCAGACCTCTCTCCTCCTCTCCTCCACCTCCTCCATCCCCTCCTCCTCCTCCTCCTCCTCCTCCTCCTCCTCCTCTCTCCACGACCTCCTGTTCTCCCTTCCTCCTCCACCTCCATCAATCATCCTCCTCCTCCTCCTCCCTCCTCCGCCTCCTACCTCCTCCTCCTCCTCCTCCTCCTACCCCCCCTCACCCTCCCTCCCTCCCTC